GGAGAAGACCAGAGGGGAGCCCCCCCACGCCCCGATCTGGAGGCTGTGGGGCTCCGGGCACTCGGAGATGGCCAGGAGGGTGGGCTTTTTCTCTCCATCAAGGCCCTTTGGCAGCATTTAACACAGGCAGGAGCAGGGTTCAGTGGCTGCACACCCAGGAAAGCCAAGGATTTCAGGCCGTCTCCAAAAGCCAGGCAAGCGGCAGGCAATGGTCTTCCTCTGAGGCCCCAAGAAGGAGCAGCCCTGCTCACACCTTGATTTTGGACTCGCAGATCTGTGAGAGTGGCAGTTTCTATTGTCTGTGGTTGTGCGTCACAGCAGCCCCACAAAACAAGCACCAAGAACCCATTCTAACCTCATCCACGTGGTGGCAGCATGGCTGCTGCTGCTCCAGGCATCACTTCCAGGCTTCAGAAGAAGACAAGCAGGGGTAGCAGATGGAGTTTGGCTTTCTGGACTGGAGAAGGGGGTTTACAGGCAGCTGCCCGGGGCGCAGGGCTGGTCACCGCCTTCCCCAGGAGCCACATGCCTGGGCTTGAGACCAGGCCCCTGCCCCCACAGCTATGTGGTATAGGACCCCTGACACCTGGGGTTCCTAAGAAACTCATTTCCTTAGTGGGGCGTGTGCCTTCAGCTCAGGTTATGATCCCTGGGTCCTGGGATCTAGCCCTGCATTGGGCTCCCTGCTCAAGGGGAAGCCTGCTTCTCCCTCTCTCACCCCCCCCCCCCCGCTTGTGTTCCCTCTCTCTCAATCTCTCTCTGTCAAATAAATAAAATCTTAAAAAAAACAAAACAAAACAATCACTCACTTCCTCCACTCTGTCAACCTCCTCCATCAGCAAATATTTGTCAGATACATCACCAAGGACAAAATCAGTTCAGCCCGGGAGCTGTTTGTACAGTGAGAGTGGAGAGGGACCTAGGGTTGCTCACCCACATCCTCGCCCTAAGCCTCAATTTCCCCTTCTACAAAGCATGGATCAGATGGTGAGGCCCGCATCTTTCTTCTCATCTCTGCACCCTGTTGAGGCCTCCACCCGTCCCCAGGTGTGCTTTGGGCTGCGGCTGCAGGAACCCTGAGCCTGTGTGCCTGGAGGGTTCCTTACTCTGCAGCCTCCTCCCCGGCCTCCCTGCCTCCAGCCTCACCCTCCTCATCTGACTGTCCTACCAGCTGCTAGGGTTGCCTAAAAGGTAAATCTGACCATGTCTCTTCCCAGCGGAAAACCCTGCGGACCAGTGGTCTCCAGCGGGCTGCTGGGCAGGGTAAGCTGGGAAGCTTTGGGCCAGCGCAGCTCTGGGGGAGTGGGGCCCTGATAGCTGGCCTTTAAAGTCCCTCAGGAGCTCTACTGTGCCCTAAGGGCTGTGAGACAGGCTCCCAGGGAGCCTTTCCTGTTGCCCCTCCAATCACCCCCCACCAACTTCCCAGCTCTCCAGAGCCACAGTTCTTCCTGCCTCTGTTCTTTGCTGCACTCCCCTTCCCTCAGGTCCCAGCGCAGACTTCCCTTTCTCCTCAGGCTGCTCCCTGGCCTGGGGCCCCTTGCACCTGTGCTCTCTGCCTCTCCCTCTAAGGCCCCTGTCTGGCCAGGCACTCCAGAGGTCAGGGTTTGCCTCCCGGGGCTGGGGCCCAGGTGGGGGTGGGGAGTTTGCTCAGAAGAACTCGCGGGACGCCTGGGTGGCTCAGTTGGTTAAGCAGCTGCCTTCGGCTCAGGTCATGATCCCAGTGTCCTGGGATCGAGTCCCACATCGGGCTCCTTGCTCGTCAGGGAGCCTGCTTCTCCCTCTGCCTCTGCCTGCCATTCTGTCTGCCTGTGCTTGCTCTCTCTCCCTCTCTCTCTCTCTGACAAATAAATAAATAAAATCTTTAAAAAAAAAAAAAAGAAGAAGAAGAAGAAGAACTCGCTGCACCAACATGGTTTGGTCTGGGGCCTGTGCCTGGCGGGGGTGTGCTGACCTGGGGCCACACAGGAGGGGCCTTGGTCGTGTTTGCTGAGCACAGACGTCCTTCTCAGAGTGACCCAGACTTCCAGAGTCTAGCAAACTGTTCCCACCAGCAGACCACGCCTTGCCTTCCCCACCCCAAAGCTCCCTGACCCACCGAGACATTTCCTGGCCGCCCATCCCCCTTAGAACTGGGGCAATGTCCTAGGCTTCTAGCGGCTTCCTGGTGATGGTTACCTGGGCCCCTCGGTCTTTCAGTGGTTCCTCTTTGCCCTGCATGGTGTGTAGGAAGGTCGTAATTCCACTTCTTCTTCTGGCCTCCGGTGCTGGACGTGGGAGGGCCCACATGCATGCAGAGGTCTGGCCCAGCCTGCTGGGTGGTGAGCTGTGGGTGGCTGGCCAGGGATGGTGGCTGGCGACCCAGTACCCTTCCCCACTGTCAGCAGATTATGGGGGAGCATGAGAAGGGCATGGGGGTAGGGGTGGGGATTTGTGGTGATGCAGAATGCTTTTCTCTCCCAGCTCAGCCGGCTCAGAGGCTCAGAAGAGACATGCTTGTCCCTTCCCAGGAAGCTGGGGGCTGGCCCCACACAGACAGCAGTCTCCCAGATCCGTAACCCCTGGGTGTCTGCTTCCTTGCTGATATTCCTGTTACCGCCCCCACCACCACCACTGAATCCCCATGCTGTAAAGGAGGCCCAGGCACCAGGGATCTTAGGGCGCCTGGGGCCTGGAGGCTGGGAAGAAAAATCCCCCTGACCTGGTCAGGGTCAGAAGGGGGTTTCTGTATGATGCAACTCACCATCTCCTTTTGGGAAGAAACTACCTTTCCAGATAAATGCAGGGTTAAAAAACAAAATCCAACCCAGTGCATTTGAAGCTCGAACTGGCTTTGTTAAACGATTCAGGAACCAGACAGCACCCAGGTAGCAAGCCAGCTGAGGGGAGCTCCCAGGAGTTGTGCGAAATGAAAGGTTTTCCTACGAAAGAGGGTGCAGGGAGATGTTATTAGCAAAAGAAAAGGCTCTTCTAGATAAGCACACTTGACTTTGGGAGGAGGAGGACAAGGGGTCTCATGCCAGTTAGCCCACAGCCCAGCTCCTTTATTGGGCTGCTCAGAGCATTCCTGACGGGCTAGGACTAGGGTTTCTGGGGGTTGTTGGAACTGTAGCTAGATTAGCTATGAAGGGCCGGGTTGGGGACTCAGCCAGTGACACCAATTTGGGCCTGTGATTTTGATATAGGAAATGTTAGAGTTCGAAGCCGACAGCCAAGAAAAAATTCTTGACACATGTTCAGTGCAAAATGGTTTTATTAAATCAGAAGGACAGGACCGACCCACAGGCAGAACGAACTGCACTGGGGTCATGAGGAGTGGCCCATTATATACTTTCAAGTTGGGAGGGTGTTAGTGAGAGCATACGCGCATACGTCTCTAAGGAATTTTGGAAGCAAGGCTTCCAGGACTTTGAGGGGGCTAGCTGCTGTTGGGAAAAGGTCATTTAGTAGTCTAATAAAACCTGAGTCATGAGACCCTTCAGATGGTTATCGGTGGGTCAGACGCTTGGGGAATGATTGCCAATTGTATCTAGGGGGGGCAGAGATAAAGCAAGTTTCCAAAGGAATTTTTATAGGTTAAGGTAGACTCACAGGATCCTGGGGCTCTGGCTAAAGGATTGCCTTTTGCCCTAGTAAAGCATTAACATCAGGACAGCTGAGTCCCTAGAGGAATGTCACTCTGCCTGTTTCCAGGACTTGAAGTCAGTGGGCTGTGGGTAGTTTTTCTTTTTCTTCTTTTTTTAAGATTTTATTTATTTGACAGAGAGAGAGAGAAATCACAAGTAGGCAGAGAGGCAGGCAGAGAGACAGGGGGTAAGCAGGCTCCCTGCTGGGCAGAAAACCCAACGGGAGACTCAATCCGAGGACCCTGGGATCATGACCTTAGCCAAAGGCAGAGGCTTAACCCACTGAGCCACCAGGCACCCAGTAGTTTTTCTTTTTAACAGCGGTTTCTGTTAAATGTTTAAGAGTTAAGAACTGGTCTGGGAAGTTAGTTGCCTACCCCCATGTTACCTACATCGAGGTATTAGTGACCTTTAATCAGGCGTTCTCTTCTGTGCTCACTCAACCAGGGATCATCTAACCACGTTTTTTTTTTTTTTAAGATTTTATTTATTTGAGAAAGAGAATGAACAAGGGGAGGGAATGGGAGAAGCAGACTACCCGCTCAGCAGGGAGCCCAACAGGACCCGGGATGCTGCCCTGAGCCACCCAGGCACCCCCACTTTTATTTTAATCCCTACAAAGATCTCCACCAGGAGAGGTCTTTGAGTGGCCTTACTTTGACTTCTGCAACAAGTTTGAAATGACAACGTTGGGGGGGAAAAAACCACACACTCATCACTAAATCTTCTGGGGGGCTGGGGGAGCATCTGTGTTTGAGCAAGGAAGGTGACTGTAGGTTTGAGAGTGCCAGCGGGGGTCAGAGCCCTGCAGGTGTTGTGCTGCTCCCTCCCCGCCGCCTGCCCTGCTGCCCCCACAGCTCCCGGGAGGCCCTCCCCTAGAGAGCACAGGCCGGCCACCCCCTGGGCCCCCAGTCGGGGGGGGGGCCTCTTTTCCCTGCCAGGTCTTGCCCCAGGAGTCTGGCTGACTCCCCCCTTCATCAGGCTGCTCAGCAATCCTGCCTCATCCTTGGTCCCATCTATCTTCCGCCTGCCCAGCCCGGCTGTAGCGAAGAGTCAGGAAGTCACCTCCCTACCCTTGATGCCTGCCCAAGTTCCTTATCCCCCACTCTGACGGGTGAGCCCTGGGCTTGCCTGTGGCCAGAATCCCCCAACCCTGTCAGCCTCCTCTTAGTAATACCCTCCCACCCTCTGACCCCCACTGGCTCTGCTCCTGGGCCACCCAGGCCGGCTCTGCTGAGTTGCAAGCTGAGCCAGCGGCCCCCGGCCCCCGTTGAGACAGTCATGAGCCCCATTGTGACAGCCCTGAACACCCTTCCTTTTCACCAAGTGTCACAACGCGGTGTCTTACTTCGGGATGCCCTCTGGGAGGCACCACTGGCTGGCTGGAAACCTAGAGTCTCATCCTAGGAGGGCCTTGTCCAGCGCAGCAGAGTGGACTGACCTTTCCTTGCTCCCAAATGATCCCCTGCAGGAGACGTGGGAAAGGCAGTGTGTCCAAAGCAGAAAGGACTGCCAGGCTGGGGCTGAGCCCGCTGAGTGTAACTGGCTTCCTCTCCCCTCCACCCTGACCTGCAGGCTCTGAGCAGGGCTTCCCTCGGTGCCTGGGCCTGCAGGCATTCCCAGCAACAGCCGCCCCTCCCCCCACTCCCATGCCACCCCTGGGGCTACCTCTGGGGACTGAGGGAGGGGCAGCTCTGTGCCCAGGGCATTCTAGCTCAGTCACAGCCTACTACCCGCCCCTGCGGTTCTTGCAGACTGAGTCCTCAACATCCACAATCAGGAAACAAAGAGGAGTCCACTTTCGGGTCTGGAAATCACTGCACCATGGGGCCACCCTCCAAGGCACAGGGAGAGAGCATGCAGGGGTTTCTGGGGAGCCTAGCAGGGTGGGGCCGGGCAGCCCTTCATCTGGTCCGCTAGCTGGCAGTGTCTGCCTCCCAGACCCGTCACTGCTGTGTGTTTGGGGAGTGGGACAGAGGTGCATGGCTGTCCTCCACGAAGTGTTCTGCAAAGCGCCACGGAAGCAAAACCCTGCTTAGTCCAACATTTCCCTCGTGCAACCTCCCTCCCGCTGGCCCGCCAGATGTGGCCCGCCCACCAGATGTGGCCGGACAGGACCACTCCACCCATTCCTTAGTCACTCAACAAACATTCGCCAGGCACCCTCTTACCCTGCTGACCCCACCCGTCAAGGGTGTGGGCTGGGGAAGGGCTTCAGACAGGAAGTCGTGCCCGCACAATTTCTGGGGAACTGAGCAGCGAAGGGGGGAGGCGGGGTGTGTGCGGGGAGGGGCAGGGCTTGCCATCCGTCCCACCGTCCAGGGTGTGGGCTGGGGGAGGGCTCAGACAGGAAGTCGTGCCCGCACAATTTCTGGGGAACTGAGCAGCGCACGGGGGCGGGGGGGTGCGGGGAGGGGCAGGGCTTGCCATCCGTCCCACCCTCTGAGTCAATACCAGCTGGGCCTTATAAAGCTCCAAGAAGCTGCCCTGGGAAAGTTTCCTCTCTCGTGCCAGCTCCCAGAAGGAAGGTGGGTCCAAGTCCAGCACCATGACCGAACTGGAGACAGCCATGGGCATGATCATTGACGTCTTTGCCCGCTATGCGGGTGTGGAGGGCAGCAAGCAGAGCCTGACCAAGGGGGAGTTGAAGGTGCTCATGGAGAAGGAGCTCCCCGGCTTCCTGCAGGTGAGGGTGCAGAGCCTGGGGCGGGGGCAGGCGGGGAGGGTCAGGGAGGACGGTGGGCTGGCCGGCAGGAGAAAGGAGGGCAGGAGAGGGCCAAGGGGCTGCAGAAGGAGCAGCTGGAAGGCAAGACCACCCTCCCAGGAGCGGATCTGTTGCCCTCGGGGCTGAGGTCTTTAGGAGCAGGGAGCTGGAGTAGCCAGCTCAGTCCCTGACACATGAAGTTAGAGCCACCAGGATTCTTTCTCAGCAGGGGCCCAGTGGCAGAGCTAGGGGTGGGGGGTGGTTTGCAAACCTGAACCTGAGCAGTAGGGATGGTGAGGCTGGGTTTGCTGGTCCCTCACCGCTGCACCCCTCCGAGGCGGCTGGCCATGAACACCCCTGCCCTCCTGTCTGCTTGGCTGTGTCCTCCCAGCATCCCCCGAGTGGTGTTAGCAGGGCTGACAGGGGTACAGATGGGAGGAGGTCCCACCTGGCACTTATCTGCCTGGAGCCCCTGGACCTGGATCTGCCCAAGGGAGACCTCCTCAGGGACCTCAAAACAGGGGGCTCCCCTCTCGGTCCTCCTTTCCCCATTATGCTCCTCTCGGTTCTTGACCCTCTGGCTGCCTCTTCTGGCTCCGTCCTCTTCCCGTTCCCTCCCTCTACCCCTTTCCTTCCTCCACTTTCCCTCCCCTCCCTCCTCCCCTCCCCTTCCTCCCCTCTTCCCCCTCCCTTCCACTCTCCCCCTCCTCCCTCCTTCTTCCTCCTTCCCTCTACTCTCCTCCTCCCTCCCTTCTCCTCTCTTTTCCTTCCCTTCCTCTCTCCCCCTTTTCCCTCCTCTTTTTCTTCCTCTTCTCTCCTCTACCCCGCCCTCCCCTTCTCCCCCTCCTTTCCTCTCTCCCTCCCTTCCTCCAGGTCCTCACCCTTGCCCCACTCCTTCCCTCTTTCCCTCCCCCCCCTCTTCCCTTCCCTTTCCTTACTGTCCTTCTCTTCCCCTCTGCTCTTCAATTACAGCTCCCCTTCTTCTCCACTCCTCCCCTTCCCCTCTTGCCTCCTCCCTGGCCCCACCAAACCCCACCTCCTGCCCTCTAATGGATCTACCCTGAGCTGATTCTTGAAAATGGAAGCCTAAGATTTTTAGCCTTCAAACACACTGAGCGCTTCAGTATGTAAATGTAGTGAGGGTATAGATCTTTAAATGAAGTTCATTTGTTTTTGTCTCTTATAAATGTGTTTGTGGTCGAAAATGTAAAAATACAGAAACGTGGAGGCAAGAAATCCCCTCCCCCAGCACACTCTCCCTCTCCCTTTCTGCCTTTTCCCCAGTCAAAAGCTCAAAGCTAATGTGTATGAAATTCTAAATATGCAATTTAATTTCCTTTTGAACTTAATATCACCGCAAACAGTCTCAAACCCGGATGCTCACTGAACGCCCCTGCACCGGTTAGGAATCGGGCATGGTGCAGATGTTCTGATAACAAGCCAAGTTTGAGTCTAACCCATGGAGATTTTGAACCCAAAAGCTGGGGGTTGCTGGAGGGGCAGAGGCAGGTGGCCCGGGAACACAATTTGAGAACCGGTGGCTAAGCCTGGGATCCTCAGCAAGGTGCTTGTAAAAGCTAGGGCTCACGGTCATAGGCCCCCAGGCCTCCAGCTGATGGGGAAGCCCACCTCCTGGTGCAGTTGGGAGCTGCCGTCCTGGGGGGCTGTTGGAGCCCCAGTGTGGGTGGCTGCGCGTGGCAGGGGGGTCTCCAGTGAGGCTGGGGCATGGCGGCAGCTCCCGCAGCACCCCTGCCCACCCCTCCTCCCCACCTCTCACCCCAGCTTGGATTTCCCCATTCTGAGAATCAGAGGCTTGTGGCCGGGACAGGTGTGCAGGGCATGGCCCAGACGTGATCTCCTAAAGTGACCCCGCCAGGCTGGCAGCACATCCTGGGGGTGGTCCCCCTTCTAAAGCATCTTAAACAGTCCAAAGACACCCCCTTCCAAACTTGCCAGTAAGACAAACGCTGCCTCCGAACTGCACCACACAATTCCGATTGGCCCTAAACCCAACCCTGGCTCCTGGCCTCCCGGAGCCCAGTGACACAACCTGTCGGTGTCCCCCCACCCTTCCCCCGCCCCCCCACCAGGCAGCAGTGCATGGGCCTCTCACCCACTGACCCCGGCCTCTGTCTCTAGACTAAAAGGGACAGGGACGCCGTGGACAAACTGCTCAAAGACCTGGACGCCAACGGGGATGCCGAGGTGAACTTCAGCGAGTTCATCGTGTTTGTGGCCACACTCACGGCTGCCTGCCACAAGTACTTCGAGCAGGCTGGGCGCCTCTGATGTCCTGCAAGCCCAGAACCCCAGCGGCCCTGGAGGGGGAGGGGGCGGGCAGGGAGCAGCCCCTGGCTTCCAGAACCCTGTGCTCCACAGCCTCCAGCTGCCCCTGTGATCAGTAAAATGTTTGTGAAATGTTCCTGGTCTGGTGGACATGGATTACTTCTTGACCCCCTCAGTGCCCCCACCCCAGCACGGTGAGTTCCCTGATTTGTTACTTCCTGCTCCTGCCCAGTAGGGAGCTGGAGAAGGAAAGGACTCGGATCAGTTGATCAGGTGGACCACCTCCTTACTGCCCCGTGCCAGTGGGGCCCTGTCCCTGCTTTTGTGGGTGGCTCAGCACCAAGGGAGCATCATGCTGCCCTGGACCACGGAGGTCCATGGGCCACGCATCCCTCCACCCAGGCCACCAGACAGCCACTCATCAGACCACAGCACCTCCATGTCCGAACAAGTCACATTCTTGAATGCATGGGGTTTTTTGTTTCTTCGAGTTTTGCGGGGGGGGGGGGGGGGGGTTGGCCACAAAGGCTATAAAACACAGTAACACACATAAAGAAATGAATGACACAAGGGGCAGCTGGGTGGCTCAGTCAGTTGAGTCTGACCTCAGCTCAGGTTATGATCTCAGGGAGCTCTACTCTCATCAGGGAGTCTGCCTGTCCCTCTCCCTCTGCCCATCCCCCCACTCATGCTCCTCGCTTTTAAAGATTGTATTGATTTGTCAGAGAGAGAGAGAGCACAAGCAGGGGGAGCGGCAGACAAGGGGAGAAGCAGACTCCGCACTGAGCAGGGAGCCTGATGTGGGACTCAATCCCAGGACCCTGGGATCATCACCATGGCTGGAGGCAGATGCTTAACCCACTGAGCCACCCAGAGGTCCCAGTAAAATGAATTTTCAAAATGGTTCTCAGCAGGGACCTGACATAGCCCCACCCACTGCTGACTGGTAAGGAGCAGGAGAGACATGAAGCCACAGCAGGGGGGTCAGTTAGGAGAGCGCTGCACCAGCGGCCTAGGGCAGTGGGAGGGGGTCTATGAATCCAGGGTACGCTCTTGTCAGAGCCTCAGTGACAGCATGAGGAAGGAGGAAGGGGTTGCTGAGAAAGAGGGATGAATCAAGAAGCACACTAAAGTTTCTGCCTTAGAAACTTCAGTTTGAGTTATGTGCACTGGTAAGCAGACACAACTACATTTTTTTTTAAGATTTATTTATTTTTGAGAGACAGGGAAAGGGAGAGAATCAAAAGCAGACCCTGACATGAGGCTCAATCTCATGACCCGAGTCGAGACCAAGTGTCTGACGCTCACCAACCGAGCCACCCAGGTGCCCCACAATTAAATGTAATGTACGTATCGAATTGATGCTCATTCAGTGAGTATTAAGCACCAGCCACATGGCAGCCAAGCATTCATCTCTGTGCTGGGAATGTAGCAGTAAACAAAATTCCTGCCTTCTGGGGCTGACATTCCAAGCGGAGAGGTCAGACAATACACCAATTAATCATCACATGTCAGGTAGTGAGAAGCAAAATAAAGGAGCAGAGAGTAGCAGGGACAGCAGTGCTGTCTGAAAGATGAGGCATAAGCGGGCCTCTCTGGCATGGAAGCCGCCACTGGGAAAGGCGGTTCAGTGAGCTATGTGGGTATGGGACACTCACCTGTTCTCAGAAGAAACAAAAGTATTGTTCTGTATCGTATTGCAACAAAACACGAGTGAAGAGGCAGGCTCACAAGCCAGCTGACGCAAGTGGCCGCTGGAGAACTTCCCAGGCCTTCTGGAAGAGAACACAGAATCTCAGACTTCACGGCAGAGTCTGGGCACCACTGGCTCATCTGTGACAAATGATTTCGCAGCTGCTGACAACAGGCGATTCAAATTTTCTAGCTGACCTGGAAGTGGATTCAGTTCCACGGATCCAGAATCCGACTAGGGGCAAATGGATGAGTTAAAGCAGGAAATGCGCACAAGGCCTGTAGGCCTCTCCATCACGCTCTGTCACGAGGGAAGACGCTCAGCTTGTCGCCACAGTGCTCTGCCTTAGAGCCAGGGGTCCAAATGATTCAGACTTGAAGGCTCTGACCACAAAGGAGGCCTAGCATCGAGCCCTAGGACAATGAAGAGATGAAATGCACCCTAATGGAGGAGTATAATCTGTGGTCAGTTAATCAAAGGGAAAATCTATGTGCACACACGCGCACACACACACACACACACACACACACACACAAGTATGGCAAGTTTTACACCAACACATTTGTTTTTAAATCAGTGAAGCAACTTACAACTAAGTTTTCTTTTTTTTTTTTTAAAGATTTTATTTATTTATTTGACAGAGATCACAAGTAGGCAGAGCAGCAGGCAGAGAGAGAGAGAGGAGGAAGCAGGCTCCCCACTGAGCAGAGAGCTTGATGTGGGGCTCGATCCCAGGACCCTGGGACCATGACCTGAGCTGAAGCAGGGGCTTAACCCACTGAGCCACCCAAGCGCCCACAACTAAGTTTTCTGATCAAGGTCCATGATATCTCAAAGAGGGGTGATCCTTCAGCCAGCTCCCTGAATTAAGAGAATGTGGAGCAAGTGACCTGTGGTGTACATCAAAAGGAATGAGAAATAACTCTTGCAGGCTGTATGCCCCAAGACTTTGGTGGGGGGGGACCTGTTAGCACAGTTTAACCTAGCCGCCTTGACTGACACAGATAGACTCTGACTCTCGGCCCCAGGAAAGCCTAGTGGATCCTCTCTACTCCCCCGCTCCAGGTCAGGCTCTCAACTCCCATGTGCACCAGTCCCCATATTCTCGCCTTCACCCAAGTCCCATCAACACACAGACTGCAGGCAGTGAGTAAGCCTCCCACGCTACACACGTGACCCCCAACACTCCCCTGCTCCTGGGTCTCAAGGGCTCCCGGCACTATTTCTGTGCCTGCTCCAGACCTCAGAAGGCCAGGAGCGTGGACAAGGATTCCATGGACAGAAACAGTTTCTGTAAAGGACTCTATGATAAAGTACAGTCATCCAAGACATGTATCTCAGCTTGTCTCCATGAACACATGCTTGCTCCAATCAAATCACGTGTAGCAGTTCTGGAAATCGCACCCTGCCTCTCCTATGGCTTTGAGCATCCATCAGCACAGTCCAATGCAGATGAATTAACTCCCTGAGGAAGCCTCTCTCCTCGGCCCACCCCTCTCACCTGGCTCCCCCAGTGTCCTCCAGAGTCTCCCCAGGGCTGCAGCTCCCGTGGTTCCGAGCTCCAGGGGCCCCCACTGGGTTCTGCTCTCAGAGGTTGTACTCCACGCTCAGGGCAAGTCGTTTGCTCTAAAGAGCTTTCCAGTCTCCTCCATGAGTGCTCAGTCCCTCCTCGTGCTCCCACAGGATACTCAAGCACACGGCAGTGCAATTACTCGTCCCAGCTCTTCCCTATCCGGGACTTTCCTTCACATTCCTGGTGCCTCAGATAGGACAGAAAGCATGTTCTATTCCCACTGATTGAGAGACTAAACATACCGCAGCTGCTGAGAAGCAAGGCCAGAGACGAGATGATGGCCCGAAGTTCATCTCTGTTAAAAGCTGAGAGTTCCGTCAACCTGTCCCCACACCACCTGCTGTAAGCAATTCTCCCTCCCAGTTCCAGGCTCATGAGAACCCCAAACTTCAAGTAGCTCGGTCCCGCTTGCTGGTGGCAGCGCTGAAAGAAGAGTGTCCATTTCAAAAGAAATGGATTAACACACACACTGGCTTTGGTCTTCTGAACAACATCTTTATTTGAAAAAAGATTTTCTATAGATCTTTGTTTTTCAAGGCAAATGAACACATCGATCACATGTCTGACTTTGAACTCAAATCATGGTCAGGTCTACCTTGATAGACTAGAAGGGACTTTATGGGCCCCAATAACACCTTTTCCTTCCTCCAGTGTCCCCAGGCTCCTTGGAGACTCTCTTTGATGTGATCCTCTAAAAACCTTGTAACATGTGAGGTCATTCTGACAGAGAAGCATCCTCCGTCATTCTCTACCCAAACTTCTTTGTCATTTGGGGCCAGCAAGGTTGTCTAAATAAACCCACTTGATAGGTGCCACCACAGACACCAGACACTATGTCACAAGACCCAGGTCCCCACGTGTGTCTCATAGGAATCAAAGTTCCAGAATGCACACCCAACCATCTTCCATCTCCAACTGCCTTCTAGTTCTTCCCAGAGCTTCCCAAAGCAGTCTCACCCCTACGCTGGTCACCAGCTTTAACCAAGCAGTGCCTTCCATGCATCTCCACAGAGAGAAGATTCTGGCCCCAAGTCTACGCACCCTCTGAAGGTCCAGAGAACAATCAGGTCACAGAGGTTAACAGCAAAACACAAGGCCACACCCAACATTCCAAATACAGCGAAGGAATAGGAATAAACGTGAGCACTGAAACAACTCTTCACTAAGCCCCGTTCCCCTTACAGTGTCACCAGCTGAAGCCAGACCCAGTTAATTCAGATGAACGGATGAACACCAGAGGTCTTATCTTCCCGGGGCACAGCTGGACTGGCCAGGAAACACGAAGACCCAGGCCCAAGACCCAGGAATACTTGCTGATCATTCAAAGGAACACAAAGGATCCAAGCCCGTTAACTTATGCCCAGACAAGTAGCTCGTTTAGGCGTATACAAGCCACTGATCAACACTATCCTAACCACAGAATCACCAGATGTACCTAATGAAATCTCTAACAAAAGAAAGACATTTTGGGGACGCCTGGGTGGCTCAGTCAGTTAGGCATCTGCCTTTGGCTCAGGTCATGACCCCAGGGTCCTAGGATTGACCCCGCATCGGGCTCCTTGTAGAGTGGGGAGCCTGCTTCTCCCTCTGCCTGTGGCTCCCGGTACTTGTGCACTCTCTCTGACAAATAAAATCTTAAAAAAAAAAAAAAAAGACATTTTTCAAATTCTAAGTCTCTCGAAATTGAACAGACAGACCTCTGTGGGACCAGAATAACTAAGTAAGCCTGTGAACACAACTGCACCTCCAAACCATCAACAGCATCCTCCTGCTGAGACACCCCCTGACCAAATTCTGCGCTTAAAAACCCTCACCTGTAAGTCATCGGGCAGTTTGGGACTTGAAGCCTTAGCTCTAGCCTACCTTTCCTCACTGCAAAATCTCCATGTCAGTCTTTTACTGGCTGGCTGTGCATCCGAGGGAAGAATTCTCTTTTGGCTCGCTCACACAACCACTGACCCTGAGGGAGACTGTCGCATGCAGATAAGAAACATACAAAAACAGAATAAACAAGCTACTTCAGCTTTCTCGTGGTGTCAGCCCAGGTGACCTGCATCCATCAACTCAGAACCTAAAGCAGAACTGGAAGAAATTCACCATCAAAACACTGAGTCTCAGATTTCTGCATCCTGGTTTAAAATTTAAATTAAAAAAAAAAAAACCCATCCACAAGAATGCCACTTCTTTCAGACAGAGTCCTCTGACACTGCCTCCTCCTAGAAGAACCTGGAAATTTCTAGTCCAGGCCTAAAGCTTCACACTTCTCTGTTTCTTTCCCGTGTTCTCACCCACCCCTATTTTGCTCAATGGCCAAGCTTTCTTCCCATCCCCGGCCACCACCCTCCTCAGTGCCCAGGAGGCTCTACCTCCAGCAACTGTCCCTCGGGAGGTGACTTTTCAGTTTCACAAAGACAAACTCCAAGTTATTCTAATTTTTCTCTAATTACCAGCGGAGTCAGGAGAAACCACAAAAATCACTATCTGCTCTAGCACCTGTCCAAGCTAGTAGCAAGGACCCATTCTCCTCTCAACCTCAACTTTGCTTCCCCTGCCCAATTTCGGATGCAGTGAAACTGAAGCTTCACCTTCACTGCTGCAGCAGGACGACCACCCAGGACGCTACTGAATCTGGCTGCGGCATCGCCAAGCCCCGCCGCCGCCCCGCCTCACCGCCCGCGCTCCTTCAGGACGACTCGCTTCTCTCTATCCGCCGCACCAGCTCCACCAGCATCTCTGCCATCTTCGCGATCTCCTTGGCCTTCTCCTCGGCCTTCTCGCACCTCTTGGCCGCCCTGCCGTCCACGCCGTCGCCGGGGTTCTGCAGATGGTTGAGGGCGCTCTCCTCCGAGGCCTCCACCTGAGTTTTTTTTTTTTTTTTAACTTTTTTTTTTAAGATTTTATTTATTTATTTGTCAGAGTGAGCACAGGCAGAGAGAGTGGCAGGCAGAGGCAGACGGAGAAGCAGGCTCCCGCTGAGCGAGGAGCCCGATGTGGGACTCGATCCCAGGACGCTGGGATCATGACCTGAGCCGAAGGCAGCCGCTTAACCAACTGGGCCACCCAGGCGTCCCTCCACCTGCGTTTTGATCTGGATGAGCATATTGTCCATCTCCCACAACTTGCTCCTGTTCCGCAGGTAGGCTCTCCCGTGCTCCCGCGTGAGGACCGCGATGTCCTCGCGCATCTCGTTGATGACGGGCAGCAGGAACTGCTCGAAGTCCTCCTCCGGCTCCAGCACTTCCACCTCCTCGGGCTCCGCCAGCTCGACGATGTCCAAGGGCCGCATCTGTCCTGCCACTTCTTCATGCCCGCGCCCCTGGGGACGGCTAAACCGTTCCTGCGGCCGTCCGCGCGTCAACAGTGCTCCCGAACTATCTACGCCTCCGGCCTCAGAGCCGCTCCGGGAAAGAACCCGGAGCCGATCCCGTACCTACGCCTGGCCAACAAGCGGTACTCGCGGCCGGCGCCGGCGGTGGGTGTGTTTGCGGCACTTTCACGACGTGGCCTGGCCCCCTTACGGCGGTGACTGGGACCGACCCGTGGCGGGCGCGCGCACACTGATGGGCCTCTGTCGCGGGCGCGCGCACGCCCACCGCCCCCAGCTTCCGTCCCCGCCCCGCCCCAGTCAGCCTTTGGGATCCTCCGGGTACCTCGCTTACCTCTTCTGTGCGGGCATCCCAGGCTTTTACTTCCACTTTGTTTTTTTTTTTTTTAAGTGAAAGCAATTTTCCCTCCCTAGTGTTTAAGTCAGGCTGATGTCCAGCCTGATATCCAGCCACGCACTACTCTAAGTGCTTAGTTTAATTCACTTAACCTCACAGCAAAGCTGATAGATGAAAAACTGGCTAAAAACCTCTCTTATGGCGGCGCCTGGGTGGCTCAGGTCATGGTCTAAGGGTCCTGAGATGCAGCCCCGCATTGGGCTCTCTGCTTAGTGGGGAACCTGCTTCCCCTCTCTCTGCCTGCCTCTCTGTCTACTTGTGATTTCTCTCTCTGTCTGTCAAATAAATAAATAAAAATCCTAAAAGCAGCAACAACAAAACACGAGCTTATGGTCAGAATTTGAACCTGAGCCATTTGGGTCTACTCTTTTCTTTTCTTTTCTTTTTTTAAGATTTTATTCATTTATTTGACAGACAGAGATCACAAGTAGGCAGAGAGGCAGGCGGGGGGGGGGGGGCGGGAAGCAGGCTCCCCGCCGAGGAGAGAGCCGGATGCAGGGCTGGATGCGGACCCATCCCAGGACCTGGAGATCCTGACTCCAGCCAAAGGCAGAGGCCCAACCCACTGAGCCATGCAGGCGCCCCTACAGTTGCTCATCCTAATGAGCACATATGCTTCCTCTTCTGGGACAGGGCCCTTAAGTAAAAAACCCAGGATTCTTCTTCTTCTTTTTTTTTTTTTTTTAATTTTTTTTTTATAAACATACAATGTATTATTAGCCCCAGGGGTACAGGTCTGTGAATTGCCAGGTTTACACACTTCACAGCACTCACCATAGCACATACTCTCCCCAATGTCCATAACCCCACCACCCTCTCCCCGCCAACCCTCAGTTTGTTTTGTGAGATTAAGAGTCTCTGATGGTTTGTCTCCCTCCCTTCCTGCCCCCAAACCCCCAACGTTGCATCTCCACTTCCTCATATCAGAGAGATCATATGATAGTTGTCTTTCTCCAATTGACTTATTTGGCTAAGCATAATACCCCCTAGTTCCATCCATGTCATCATAAATGGCAAGAGTTCATTTCTTTTGATGGCTGCATAGTATTCCATTGTATATGTATATACCACATCTTCTTTATCCATTCATCTGTTGATGGACATCTAGGTTCTTTCCATAGTTTGGCTATTGTGGACATTGCTGCTATAAACATTCGGGTGCACGTGCCCCTCTGGATCACTACGTTTGTATATTTAGGGTAAATACCCAGTAGTGCAATTGCTGGGTCATAAGTAGCTCTATTTTCAACTTTTTGAGGAACCTCCATGCTGTTTTCCAGAGTGGTTGCACCAGCATGCATTCCCACCAACAGTGTAGGAGGGTTCCCCTTTCTCCGCATCCTCGCCAGCATCTGTCATTTCCTGACTTATTAATTTTAGCCATTCTGACTGGTGTGAGGTGATATCTCATTGTGGTTTTGATTTGTATTTCCCTGATGCCGAGTGATGTGGAGA